TGTGGGAGATTTGGGAAGAGCCCCTGTCTATAGTGACGGACCTTTGCCCGTAGGTATAGATGTTGTGACTTTTAGCCACGGTCCAGAGGACAGGGACAATGCGTGTCACGCCCCCATTAGTCCATTCAAATCTGGCGCACTATTTTTTTATATTTACCCAATGAAACTTGTTTTCTTATATTATAATTTATTTGTACCATATTAACAATTGAAGACAAGTGGTGTAGTGGCAGGCATAGCGTGTATATCCCCTTCAGGACCTGGGTTCGAATCCCAGGTCCCCCTATTTTATCAATAATGTTTTCTTGCAGATAATCCAGTGCACATGCCAGCTTGATGACCATCATACTCCCTCACCAATCAACACGCCAGATGGCCAGATGGCCAGATCTGGTGGTCAGCATCAAGGGTGCACCAAAAGGCTAGTCAACGCATGTACACAGGATCAGAAAAAGTCAATTGGATCAGCTTCAAATGGGCCAGCGAATTTGCTTTCTACACACCCAAAATCAGGCCCACTTTCTTACTTTTCTATTATTTTGTTTATTTCATTTATTTATTTTATTTATTTATTTTAATCACTAACCAATAACAAATTTTCTTTTTTATCAAAATAATCACCAAAAATACTTTTTATCCAATTAAAATTCAGAATTTCATTTTTTTATTAATAAATACTAATTAATTAATTAGGATATTAATTAGGTAACATTAATTTATTTTGTAAATAAATAAAATCAATTAGAATTAATTAGGTTTTAACTTTAGTTTAATTATTTTTATTTTCTTTCTTAAAATAATCAAAACTCCAAACATGTCATTAATTATTTTTTTCATTTAATTAATTTAATAATTAATTTAATAATTAATTTAGTATTTAATTTTAGGACTTAATTTCTTTTCTTAAATAAAAACAATAAAAAAGCATTTTCTTTAATTAAAAGGGTCAAAACCCTAATTTCACATTCGATCCGATTCTCTCGCGCGACTTATCTTTTCTTATTTAATTATTGATGTATCTGCTCCCGGCTTGTAATAGTTTTAAATAGGATATTTATTTATTTTACCTCTTTATTTTATTTTCAAAGAGTTGCTTTTGGCGATGTAAATACCCGATGCCTTGTAATAATTAGTTTTAATTTCCGCATTTTAATTCTGCAAATTATACAACTGTTAGATGTTTGATAATAGGACTTGCACGCCAAGAATGAATGTTTAATCTAAAATCAAATTAGATCACCCTAAACATGTGCACAGATAAAAATAACTGAAAACAACACACTCGCACATGCGCACTCCTACGGTACACCCCACTTGGTTGCCTTCGTACACGGTCATTGAGTATAGGTCGTTTTAGAGGTCGTCCTCTTGTCTAAAAGATCATAGTCGCCTCGAAATGGTTGCCTCGGATATTTTTGCCTCAAACAAATGATCTAAAACATTAGGGTTACCGTTAAGGCGTCCTAACATTGCTTTAGTGACCGTATGTCCCTCATTCGAATTGACCCTCAAACTCCAACGACGGTGCTACCTACTCATTAATAGTGGGATAGCATCGTCTAAAGGAAATTAGCATAGAACAATTCCTTTTTTGAGTAGGTAGATAGTTCTTAGACACTTGCTCATCCAAAACAAAACAAATTTTTTGCACTTACACTCCTTTTCAAACAAAGTTTTCAAAACACTTCATTACACTCTTGAGGACAAAAGCAAGAGTTAAATCGAAGTTGAAACAAAAACTTTTCAAAACCCACAAGCATAAAGAAAACAATTTTGAAAATGATGAGCAAGTACCTAAGAGCCCGTAGATAACTACGGATAGAAAGGGTGCTAATACCTTCCCTTTCTATAATCTACCCCCCGTACTCAGAAAATCTCAAAAAATGAATTTTTCTGTGCTTTTTTCCTTTCCTTGTTGGATAAAATAAAAGTCGGTGGCGACTCTTGCTTACCGCGACATTTTGCGAAAATAAACGCAAAACGCAAACCAGCATTCCAAAAAACAGTCAGTTCTTCCCACCGTATCACACACTTCAATGCTAGAATCACGTAGAAGGGGGTGTACCTACAAGGCACTCTGATGCTTAAGTAAGTAACAGTGCAAAGATATACAAGATAAAGTTCTAGGGTTTTAGAAGTGAGTATAGAATATTCGATATTGAATACCTGACTCTCACAAGTGTGAGGGTTTATATAGTGCCCCCGACGCTTGGCCATTAGTTCTTATTCTTGGGCCTAGATATCAGGTTCCTCAAAAATAGGTAACTGCCTGGAATTGGTCATAATGGGCAGACATACTCGAAACTAGTCGTTATGACAAGCAAAGAGGTGTTCACGGGCAAAGATGATTCTTGCCATTCTTGGATAGCTTTCCTCGTGTGGCTGGAAGGATGAGGACTAGCTTGTTTTAGCGAGCAGAGGTGATCTCGTTGATCCTGAGGGTTAACCGACCACGACTCATCGAGTGAGGAGCAAAGGCGTGGTCACGGGCAAGCGTGTTATGGTAGTTCATGTATGATTGCGCGTGGCGAGCTGAATGAGAAGTTGCTGCTGACGCGGACAGAGGTACTGTTGAGGACAACGGTGGTCTTGTTGGTCCTGGAGGACAATTGACCACGAGTCCCTAACTGAGAGGCAGAAGGAAAAAGGCATCATTTACCTGACCTAATTGATTGGGCCAAAGCTATTAGACCATCTTAGATGTAGAAATGGATTGGACCATGCCTAAGCATTAGTATATATAGAGGTATGCTATTCTTACACCCATTTTGTACACTAAATATTGTTCACCGTATTTATTCGGTGCACAATTTTCTTTTAATAATATATATATATATATATATATATATATATATATATATATATATATATATATATATATATATATATATATATATATATATATATATATATATATATATATATATATATATATATATATATATATATATATATATATATATATATATATATATATATATATATATATATAAAATAACGTGAACAGTATTGTGAACAGTATTCGTGAATAGTATATGAATATTATTTTTTAATGGTAAAACAAATTTGGTTAATTGAATATAAAAATTTGGTTCATGAAGTGATGGATTTGATTAATAAATGCTCATATATTAAAACTAATTCTTAGTAGTAAAATAAAATTGATTAATGAAATACATAAAATTGGTTAATGAATTGATGAACTTGGTTAATAAATGTTCGGATATTAAAAATATTTTTTTACAATAAAACAAAGTCAATTAATACAATATAAAATATTGGTAATAAAGTTATAAAATTAATTAATAAATCCTCAGATTTTTAGTAATTATGAAGTTGATTAATAAAATTTAAAATATTAATTAATAAAATTATAAAATTATAAAGATGATTAATCACGTAATTTTGTATCTATACTCCTTTAATTTAAAACAAAGGTTGAAAAATTGTCGTAAAAATAGCATTATTGATATATATATTCCTTCTTTTGCAAATACCTACAAAGTAATATATATTGGTGCAGGCGCAGCAAGTCTCCAGCCTCCTTGGATTTAAAAATAAATTGTTTGAAAAGGTTAGCTCTTTTATGTTTAATAGTTCGAACTAGGATGGTTACATCGCTGCAACTATGGCAGCAGATCCAAGTTTATTATAATTCAAACTGTGAGGTTCTTCGTAGATTTCCTCGCAATCCATTATTCTTGTTGTGCTTTTTTACGGAAATTAATTGCATTGAGTAAAGTAAACTGAACTTTATTGTCTCCACCTTTGTGCTAGTTCTATACATGGAAATGAATTATCTCAAATGTGAGAGATGAAATTATATGTGAGAAATGAACATGTCGTTTTAATTCAATTAATACAGGAAAAAAATAAAAAGATAATTAAAATGACAACCGTATATTTAAATGGTGGCGGACACCTTTTTGAGTGTCGATTTATATTTTCCCATATAAATTACACATGGAAAAATCATTCACTTTATGCATATATGTTTGAGATATAAAATTTTATGTTAAAACTTATCAAATATATAAAATTTGTCGGTAAAATTAAATCATTATATGATTAAAATTAAAACATAAATTATTAAAGAATATTGATTAAACTTTTAGGAGTTAACTATCGGTCCAGTTCGGAGGCTTTAAAAATATATTTTAAAAATTTTAATTTTACATTGTTTTTTATGGATATAAAATGATAATATCTAAAAATAAATTATGATTTTACAAATGTTTTTGAAAAAACAGGTATAAAATTTATTGTTTTTTTAGTTAAAAGTAATAATTGGTCTCCAAAATTTAATGTCTAAAAATATATGTTATACATGGAAATTCGATTAGATCATGAGTTCATCTCTCATAAATTTATTTATTAATAAAATTTAATTAGACTTTAATACAGTCAATTCCTAAACTCCATTTCACTTAAATTTTATTATAATATAAAAAAATTAAAAATTAAAATTCAATTTTTTAAAATGATTATGTAATTAAAAATCTTAGAATTTAGATTTTCTCATAGAACCTAAACTAGATTCATTAATACCATAGTGAAATTTAAGTTAAGTTAGATTAAGTGCACAAATAATCTTGTCAATTAAATATTTTGATCCTCGATTATCTTAGAATAATAATGCAACTGTGAGTAAGTGAAAAAATAGTCTCATATTAAATAGAAATGTGGTAACTTGAACATTTATAAATGAGAGAAATCAATCACCTATCATCTTAAGGTTTTAGGTGAATAAGTGATGTGTCTCTCACAAAACGTATTTCATATACTATATCTCAATGCTCACAATATAAACTCCCCCAACATATTTAAATCATGAATTATCTAAACTACACCATTTCAAAAATGAAAAACTAAAACAAAACAAAATAATTCATTATTCATGTATAACAAAAAAAAACAAAAAACAAAAAACTATACAAGAACACTAAAATATGTGCATGTAGTACTATCATTTATCTCTGCAAAAAAACTTACACATTCTGTCAAAAACTACGGTGAAGAAACCTCCTGGCATTAGATCTAAAAGGACACGAAGAACTGACAAACCCATCAACAAGATGCAAATACGTCTTCAAATCATGACACGTGGCAATATTCACACTTTTCAAGTACGGAGAATCTCTGCTACATAACCGTAACTCCTCTCCAACCTCACAGTACACCCACCTCATCTCCTTCACTCGCTTTTGTATCCACCGTGGCAAATACCACGACACGTCATCAACATCCTCGTCTATGTCACCATCATTCTCTTCCACGTCATCATCAAAAACAAAACCAGGCATTTTTGTTATAATATCATCAGAGTTCACTATACGTAACACTTTGATTGATTCCTTTTCTAGAAGTGATCGGAAGCTTCGATTACCGACACGCGGACCGCCGAATGAGATTACTGTCACTAACGATTTCCGGTGGAAGTTTGTTTTAAAACATGTTACAATATTGTACGCTGTTAATATAGCTAATGCTGCTCCTAAACTGTGTCCTGTTATAGTAAAACTCAGATTTTCACCTTTATATGTTTTAAGAATTCGATCGATTTCGGTTCTAACAGTTTCTTGTAACGAAGGAATTACTTTAGAACATTTTGAAGTGTAGAGACTAAGAAATCCACTTTCTACCATGGGTTGGTTATTTTTTTCATGAATATCGATGATGATTCCATGAGTACTATTGTTGTATTGTAATGGAATAATGTTGGTTAGATTAGCACGAAGATTCTCGAGCCATTCTAAGCATGTTGTTGTTCCACGAAAGGCGATGACAACGTCTCTTCGACCAAGTCGTTTGATTTCATCTTTGTTGTTGCAGACAGCTATATAACCAATGTAGCTTGAATTTGTTGTGACCCATGATGGTGCTTTGTCGATCCAACTAGGTAGTTGGATGGAGGAAGTTGCATGTAAGTATTTGGTTAGTTTGTAACCGGTTTTTGGTAGGCCGCATTTTTTGAAGAGTGTGGTTTTTGGGAACTTGTTAGTGGCGTAGTTTGGGGAGGAAGGGTCGAATTCGAAGGATTTATATGCGGCTTCGACGAAATCACCATAGCGAAGGATTTCGAAACGGAGGTTGTTGTCTAAGGGGTCTAGTAAGCCTTTCCAATTGGTTATTCCTTGGTATTCTTGCCATTTTTTGCTGACTTTTGCTGGTAATGTTGATGGTTTTGTTGTTTTGTGTATGGTTTTTAAGGTTTTTTGAGAGTGTTGTTTTGTGTTGGGTTTGAGTGGTCGAATGAGTGTTATGCATTGTGGTTTGATAGTGAAGGGTGTGGTTTTAGAGAAAGAAATGTGGTTTGTGGTGTGGTTTAAGAGTGTCATTGTGAATTGAGAGAGTGATGGGAATGGTAATTTGTAAGAAGAGATGGAATATTAGAATGAGAGAACTTTGTTATGTGTGTTGTTGTTTTGGGAGGGAAATTTATGAGTGAGTGATAGGGATTTTATAAGGGAAAATAGAGAGAAAGAGTGTGTTTGTGATTGGGTGGAGTGATATGATAGGAAAAAAAATAGAGGTATACAATTTAAATAATAAATAAAAATAGAAAGATTTAGGAGATGGAAAATTATAATATTGTATCATTGTTTGCTTAAACTGTTTAGGCCTTAGGCCGTCGACCTTGCATTATAATGAAAGAGAGCATATGTCACATTCAGATTTCTTTGTCACATATGTCAATTTATATTAAACATTTATATATTAAATTCAATACTTTTTATTATTTGATAAATCAAATCTATAATAAAATTGAACCATATGATTTCAATCAAACGATCAAAGATGTTGCTAAAAACTTGAATGCAGCAAAATTCAACTACATGTTGTCCAATTTCACATTAAGTATGTATCATCTAGAATAAATGTACTATTATTAGAATGGAAAACACAAAGTGTTAATTGTTTAAAATAGTAAGTGGTAGATGACTTCATTTATTTGGGAGTGGGTTGTACTTGTGATTAAGTATATAGTTAATTAACTATAAGAAAATAATTTACGTAGTCCCATATTTTTTTTACACGTTTACAAAAACTCAGATCATGTTGCGGTACTAACTAGGAGAAGAGAAAATAAAAAATTTGGCTCCTAATTTTACATTTATTAATTAAATAATTATGTATAATTAATTTTATTCTATGTTGAAATATTATTTTAATACTTTCTTGTACAAATAAATTTTAGTTCAACTACTATAGATAAAAAAGGATTATTTTTTTATTTTTGTTGTCATAATTAGTCTAATATATAGTGTTTACTAAACTAACTTCAAGAACTATTTCAATATAGTGATTTAGTTGTTAGAACAATTTATGTGGTGGCTAAAGAGAAATAGTATTTTTTTTAAAGACAGAATTTGTAATATAGATGATATTGTTAACCATGTGAAGATTTGTCTTGGATGTGACAAGTTATAGATTCTAGTAAAGGGTGTTTTAGTAGGTTTTATGATTGGTGGAAATGTCCTCTTTGCACTTTGTTGGTATTTTGAGTTTTGTGTAAGGGTTTGAGTACTCTTGCACTCATTTTCTTTTGCTTATACAATTTTTTTTAGTTAAAATAACTTATTATGAAGTCACACATATAATATGTGGTTTATGGATGCTAATGTTTCAAAACTAAACTCTTATGATAGTTTTGTATTCCGTATGTTCCAAAATAAATGTCACATTAGTAAATTATTTTAATCAAAATAAGTGTTGTTTTTAATTATCAATACAACTTTGTCTCCACTTAGGCAATTTTGTCTCCACTTCCTTCAGATCCCCCATCGATGTATCTCTCTCATTTGCAATGTGAACTGCATAATCCTTAGTGGCCTTTAAATCTCGCACCAAGAGACCAACCTTTTGTTAATAACTCACTTCTTAGATCAAAACTCCCAATTCTCCATAAAATTAAGCTGATTAGGGTAATCATATTTTTCATATAAGACATATATTTAGCTAGAGCCTTCTGGAACCCTATTGACCCCATATCTATTAATGAGCATATGTCATAGTCTAGAACCAAATCAAAGAGCTCTTTCGGGAACAAAGGGAAAAATTGAGACAAAACATGCATTCCATTTCTCATCAACATGATGACTCCCGCCAGACCCAAGATGGGGATTTTTCTTTCTAAGAGGAGTTCAGTGGGTTGGAGATGAGATCAGAGTAGAAGGATTGGAAATATAACAAAAGCACTAAAATAAGAAATCATCTAAGTTAGGACTGATCTCCTTTAGGAAACTATCTTAAGCCCCATTAAAGGACTTCCAGCCTCAGTAGGAGGGTTGGGTTAGAGGGAATCAACCTCAATAGGGTCAACCTTAGCCAAGAGTTAAACCCTAATTTTCTTATAATATTTACATTTTTTATCATTACACATATGATTTGTAAATAAATGTATAATTAGCAAAGTACAAAGATACATGACTAATAACTTGATGATATTACAAAATACACCAACAAGATCAACAAATTCTTGCAAGTTGTAATCGAATATTAAATGTCGATATATTGATCTTTCTCTTTAGATTCTTTTATTTCTTGTTAACATATGGGGTTATATCAAAACCATTCACAAAACCCCTAATCATATGTACACATTCCTTCTCGGGATTAAAAAAGTATGATTTCATGAATAACAAACTCGATTTCCCTTATAGAGGTGTTTGTGAGTCTATTAATGGATCATAAATAAGAGAATTATCACCAGCAATGACACCCACATCAACACCACATATGGTACAACAAACACTTTCAATCAGGGGTTGTACAATGATAAACCTAATTTGAAATTCTTAAGCGAATCTAAAAAAACCTTGAAGGTTTTAGGAAATTGTTTGAAAGAGATCAAAATGTAGAGATACTTGGAATGATTGAATGAACACCCTGTAGTTGGATGTAATTGTAATGACCATAGTTAAGTAGCGAAGAATTTATTTCTCAAAGTTGGATAATGAAAGAAAGAAACTAGTTTCTCATAACACCACACCATACATTTGGTAGTGAGGGTGAGGATACTCTAAGAAGATCTAGTCCAAATAAGAGGGAACGTCGACGACCCAATCACTAGAGGGGCCAAATATTTGCACTATAATTTCATTTTTTTTTCTTTTGGATTAGAGTAGATGGAAAGAGTCTTGAGATTTTACTTATCAACCCAGGGGAACAAGTCACACGTGTGTGACTCCACCATATACCCAAAAGTAGCATATTTTATAACATGTACCATTGTACCTGTTTATTATTAAATGTAATTTCAACGCTAAGGAAGATATAAAGTATCAAATAAAGCTGAAGAAAATATGTAATGTAGACAGTTATTTAGACTAGGAGACAGATAAAGACTTTGACTGGTACTTGTCGGAAAAGTCCCGGACTTGCGAAATGGTACTACACTGGGACTTAGAAAGTTTTTTTAGACTTGATTTGAAAGTGAGGTCGACAAAGATAATTTGAGATAAGGATGATAACTATATTTTGGCCTTATTCATTCCTTAATAAAGAGGTGTGGAAGCATGTGAAGGGAGAAGCCATGCAAACGAGAACGTGTAATTTTCTGGAGAAAAGACCGTTCGTGACAGTTACCATATAAGTAATATAAATATAGGTCTTAGCCTTAGGATTTCGTGTTGCTCAATTGTACCAAACTAAAAGTCACTCAAAGTATCTAAGTGTGTTTGAGAAAAGAGCTTTTGAAGTAACAACATGTATGTATGAATCACCTATTTACACACATTGTTAAATCATTTACTCTCAATGTCATTTTAATTCCATTTAAGATTTTGTCGAAACACTTTACATTCTACACACTTACATCCTTGCACTTTTTACAAACTATTTTTACATTACTGTCACTTTTAAGATTTTAGTATGGTCGAAGTATTAATCATCAAGAAAACATAACAAAACTAAGCACATATGTTCTAGGATCAATCTATTCGATCATGTGAGTAACCAAAGTATCAATTTTAGAAGACTAGCGATTGTTTACCAAAATATAAGGTAAACACTTATACCAAGAAAGAAGTGAGTTTGAGGATGGTGACCTCGCCTAATAACGCATTCAATTTGCATGAAAGAGTTGAAAGCTAAGATATAAAACATCACTTATATACCAATAAAACGTTCTTCCCCAAATTCGATTAGTGACGGGGAGGAGAAAAAATGGGACAACTAGTTCCTCTTATAAGAACAAGAAGTGTTTCTACATCTGGCCTTAAGATTTTGATGATAAATTTACATGTTATCTTTAAGAACAATTATATACTCTAATGGTTTATTCTAGTGTGTAGTTACTGCTGTAATGTTCTGACTCTAGGGTCAAGGTGTGTGACGTCATCAGATTCTGAACATACACTACTGGAAGAAAACATGTGGTTACATGTTACAGTTGAAGCCAAGATTCTGAATATGTCTTCTACAACGTGTCTTAGGAACGTTAGTTCAAGAGGTTCTGATCGTGACTTTATAGTTAAGCTTTGGAGGCCTTTTAAAGCTTTAATTCGATGTGTTACAAAGTTCTAAATATTATGAAGATGAGGTTCTGCTAAACAAGTTCTGATGATCTGAAGACAAGCAAGTTCTTACGACCAAGTGCTGAAGACTCCAAAGACAAGGTTTTTATAGGACAAGTTCTGAAGACTCCAAAACTTAGGTTCTAAGACTTAAAGAATGATTCTTATACAACAAGCTTCAACATTCAAATTATCTGAAGCCTCTGAAGATAAGAAGAAGGTGAAAATGGTTAATGTTTGATGGTGTACAAAAGGTACATAAAGTGTCGGTGACCTCTACCCTCTTGGGTGGCCTAAGGACAGTCCTTCTGTACTGTATTGTCAACCACTCTCATTGTGACCGTTGGTAACAACCAGTTGGATTTCACCTATCTTTCTTTACTCAACGAATCTCTGTTTACAAGCTTATTATAAAAATGTTATTCAGAGACAGAAAAAAAAGGTGGAAAGCTATCATTGAACAGTGACAAGATACATAAACTATTATTTTATACCGTCTAACTCTTACACCTTATTATATTCGTTGGAACTAACTGCAGGAAAAGACTTTTCTATCCTCACAATGTCTCTCTCTGAAGGCTATAAAAGAAGATCAAATATTCAAAGCTAAAGTTTCGTTGGCCATCAACGTTAAACGTTGTGGATGCTGAAGATGTCAAAGATGCAATGCTAAACATTCTAAAGACTAATATATTGAAATGAGAGAAAAGAAAGAAAGATAGAGAAGAAGGCTACAAGATGTTATTCAACTTCTGATCAAATACATCATGGCAGATCTCAGAAGAAGCAAGGAGTTGTTGCTCGTAAATTTATACCATATA